GAGAGAGAGAGAGAGAGAGAGAGAGAGAGAGAGAGAAGCCTGTTAAGACTGGATTGGGAAGAGTGGGAGTGAGGACGAGGGAATGATGGAATGGGTGAATCTGATCAAAATGCTTTGTAAACATATGTGGTTACATCAAATCAAAACTTCCTTGTACAACTAATAGATCTTATTAATGAATAAATAAATAAAAAAGAGCAAGGCTTGGTGCTGGGAAGTTGGCTCAGTGGTAGAGTGCTTGCCTTGCGTGCATGAGGCCCTGGGTTTGATTTCTCAGCACCATATACACAGAAAAAGCTGGTAGTCGGCGCTGTGGATCAAATGGTAGAGCACTAGTCTTGAGCTGAAGAGCTGAGGGACAGTGTCTAGGCTGAGTTCAGGCCCCACGACTGACCAAAAAAAAAAAAAAAAAAGAGCAAGGCTTTAAATTCAATAGAAAGAGAAAATAAAGTAAAAGAAGATAGACTAGCCAATTAGACCTTTACTTGGAATGAATTTTAAGGGAGAGTAAAGGTTCTGGTTATATCTTTAGTTTTAACTGATTAAGGGATATATAGATTGAACCCAGGGCCTTGTACATACGAAATAAACATTCTACCACTGAGCCATATCCCTTGCCCTTAACATTGACTTTTTTATTCTATAGCTTGCACATTAATTCTGTTTTCAAGCCAATTTACCATCAGTACAAAGGCAAGGAAGATTTTTTTGTCTACTGGATCTAATAATTTTTCAAAAGTCAGCTCACAGGTTAATTTATTTTTATGCTGGTCCTGGGGCTTGAACTCAGGGCCTGTGCACTATCCTTAAGCTTCTTTTGCTCAAGGCTAGTGCTCTACCACTTGAGCCACATCTTCACTTTCAAAAGAGTCTTCTGCAATTTCCAGCTAGGGTTGGCTTCAAACAGTGATCCTCAGATCTTAGCCTCCTGAGTAGCTAGGATTACGGACACAATCTACCAGCACCTGGTAAAAATTTCTCTCTCATTATGAATTGATATCTCCTGTCTCTGAACTCTTAAAAGAATCACTGCTAAGAAATTCATTTGGCTACTCGTTATGAACTGTGTTATGGTATTCTTCTACCATCATCCTGTGATATTATCTAATATCTCAACTACTTAACTTTTCTTTGTCTAGGTCTCCCTCCCATGCTAGATTTAAATCCTTTGGGGACAATAAATAGATCTTTATTTTTCTGTTCCCTCTAAAGCACATTATTCATGGTAGGAGCTTAACATTTATTGACTTTAGTCTTACTTGGCTTGGTTGACATCCTTCTTTGCTGTCTGAAGTTCAAGAACCAATTCTTCCTTTTCTTTTTGTAGACTGATGACTTCCAACTCTAGATTTTTAATGTTATCCTAGAAAGGGCATAGGTCAGAGAGAAAGAAAAAAATTATACAATACAAGAATAAATTGGCTTTGCTTCAATATCCACGCTGTCAGGAACCAAGAAATATTTACTCCTGATTCAATGGAGACTAAAATTAGGTAGTGGAAAGGGTATAGGCTTCAAATCTAAAGGCCTGGAATTGAGTCTTAACTTCAAAACTTAATATCTAAGTTTATTTTAGCCTTAGTTTCTGTGCAGGAAAGAATTAATATAGAAGGTCTGAGACTACAATCCTTTAAAGATCTGTTTGTTGGGTTGGCTCTTAGCATATGATTGGAAGTTAATATTTTGGGAGAGTTCCTGCCATTCCCTAACTGGTAAGATTGACTCACTGATTCCAAAACTATGCAATGAATGTTAACCTGAACACTGTTCAGTGTCAACAATTTATACTGAATACCCTTTTTATCCAGTTATTATACATTTTAATATGTACAAGACTTGTGTGCCCTGATGAAAGCTCTGGACTCCTAGGTTTGGGAGGCTTCTCTGGTAAAACTAAAAACAAAAACAAAAACAAAAGTTTCACATGGGACTAGAATTTCTTAATGGAGGAATGAAGGGCTTCTTGTACAACTCCACTGGGAGAGAATATTTGGAAGCTTATGCTTGGTTTCCTCTGGACTTTGTCCATCCATGTGTCTTTCTATTTTTAATTTTTCTTTGTATGTTTCTGCTAATAAATCTTAACTCTCAGTATGACTATGTGCTGAGTCTTGTGAATCTATTCAGCGAATCATTAGAATTAATGGTGGTCTTGGGGACTTCCAAGAGTTTCTCTATATAAATAATTAACAATATCATGAGCCTCATGCAGTGGTGTATACCCTGGAGATCAGGCTACATGGAAGACCAATCTGAGCCTCAAAGTTTGAAGCCAGCCTGGAGAACATTGTGCAATCCATGCATCTAACAAACAAACCATTCCCAAAACACCTACTTTGTAGGGTGGCTGGGAAGATCAAATAAGAAAGAGTGGTTAAACCGGGCACTGGTGGCTCACACCTATAATCCTAGCTACTCAGGAGTCTGAGATCTGAGGATGGCGGTTCAAAGCCAGCCTGGGCAAGAAGCTCCGTGAGACTCTTATCTCCAGTAAACCACTAGAAAAACTGGAAGTGGCGCTGTGGCTCAAGCAGTAGAGTGCTTGCCTTGAGCTGAAGAGTGCAGGGACAGTGCCCAAGCCCAGAGTTCAAGCCCCACAACTGACAAAAAGAAAGAACGAACGAAAGAACGAACGAATGAAAGAAAGAAAGAAAGAAAAAAAGAAAAAAAGAAAGAACGGTTAAAACATGTTATAACTTCTAAAGAGTTATGCAAATATTGTTATATCAGAACTTTCCAATTTATCTACTCAATAGCAACAATTGTTCTGCATGCATTTAGAAAATAAAATTCTAGAAACTGAAGTTTGGTAGTTTCTGTGTCTAGGAAAACACAGTGATCAGATTCTGTCCTATTACAACAAAAAATGATTACAGAAAACTGGCTAATGAGTGGTTGGGAGCTACATTATATGAGAACTGTAAATTAGTATTGGATTGACAAAAAGAAGCAAAGGCAAGTTAGGTGGAACTATGTCAGAGAAGCTTTCTCAAAAGTTAGAACTGTTTTCACAGCAAGGGACTGAGTCTCTTTGGTACAAGTGCTGAAAAGAAATCTCATTGTTTATGCTTATCCTGCATATTTAAAATGGTCAGTAATAATAAATAAATGAAAAGCTAGATGGTGGTAGTTCATGCCTGGATCCTAGCTACTCAGGAGGCTGAGATCTGAGGACCTCTGTTTGAAGCCAGCCTGGGCAGACAAACCTGAGAGACTCTCAACTCCAATTAACCAGGAAAAAGCCAGAAGTACAGTGGTTCAAGTAGGCGAATGACAGCCTTGAGCAAAACATTTAAGGAAGAGCTCAAGGCCCTAAGTTCAAGACTCTTATTGATGAGCACAGAAAAAGAGAAAGGAAATTTAAAAATAACTAAACATATATGTAGGTGAATATATTTGTTTTTACTTATAGAATTATCTTGTGAATATGTTTTTATAAAAAAATACCCAAAGCCAGGCATGGTGGCTCACACCTATAATCCTAGCTACTCAGGAGGCTGAGATCTAAGTATCGTGGTTCAAAACCAGCATGGTCAGGAAAGTCCATGAGACTTATCTCTAATAAACTACTAAAACAGAGGGAAGTAGAGCTGTGGCATAAATGGAAGAACATTAGTCTTCAGCAAAAGAAGCTCAGGGATAGTTCCCAGGCTCTGATTGAAGCTCCAGGACCAGAAAAATAATTAGATAATACATATAAAGGACAAGTCTTATGACTGTCTCACTCCTGCAAAAATTCCTGTCATCTCTCCAAAAGCAAACACTGTTACTAGCTATTACAGATCTTCCAGACTTGATCCAGACATTTACATTTGTACATGTTACACATCTAAACCTTTAATATACACATGCCACATAAAATTATATGTAAATTCCTACAATATCATTAATATATGAATTACTATATTATATATATAGTACACACAATTCAAATGTATTATACACAAATAGAGTTACACTAAAGGTGCTAGGGATGAAGCCTATAGGTAGAGAACTTGTCTACCACATGTAAGGCCCTGGGTTTAACATCTAAGCACCACACTAAAAGATAATTACACTGTTAGTGTACTGTATATTATTCTGTAACTTGCCTTTTTAAAAACATAATTTATCTTAATGTTTCTATCAGTGCATATAGATCTGCTTCATTCTTTTTAGGTTTGAAGTCAAAGTCTTGTGCATGCTAAGCTGGTACCCTACCATTTAAACCGTTCTCAAGCCATTTTTTGCTTTATTTGGTTTTTAGATAGAACTTTGTACTTCTTAACTGTAATCAGCCTCAGATCTCAAGTATCCTACATATGCCTCCCATGTAGCAAGGATTATGTACAAGTGCCTCCACCGAATGGATTTCTCTGTTTCTCCCAATCTCTGCATCTTGGCTAGCTAGGATTACAGGAATGTTATGTCTGGCTGCTTCATTTTTTTTTTACATGTTTCTGTGCACACCAGCAAGGTTTCACTAGGATAGAAAAGGCTGAATTACAGTTGTGGAATGCGCGTGCGCGCGCACACACGCGCGCGCGCACACACACACACGTATGAACCTGGGCTTAAACCTGGGCACTGTCTCTAAGCTTTTCTGCTAAAAGTTAGCACTCTAGAACTTGACTCATAGCTCCATTTCCGGCTTTTTGGTGGGTTATTGGAGATAAAGGGTCGCAAGGACTTTCCTATCTGGGCTGGCTTCAAACAATGATCCTCAGATCTCAGCCTCCTGAGTAGCTAGGATTACAGGCATTGGCCACTGATACCTGGCAGAAATAACCATTTTTAACACATACAATTAAATGTCACCCAAAGTGGCTATGCCCACTTTCACTTGTCACCTAAATATGAGCATACCCTTGTTAACATATTACAATTCCTCAAAATTGTTACTAATCTGATGGGTGAAAGATATAATACTTTGATTCTGTTGTTATATAGTTCCAAGGAGATCATAATTGAGGAAGAACCAAAAATGGACAGGATACAGAGACATTAGTATTTCAAAATGACTCAAATTTATTATACCATACACACAGTAGGTCTGAGTATTCATAATTTGAAATGGCATGGAGTAGGTTACATTACTCACAAAATTTACTTTGTATACATTAATACTGCTCACCAAAAACTAGATTTTATTTCATGTCCTTTATTTCAAATACTATGAAGGATTTTTTTCTTTAATGCCAACCAACTTTCACTAAAGATATGCCACCTTTCAACAAATTAATCACATTATTTTTAAATGTTTTTTTATTGTGAAAATACTGTACAGAGGGGTCACAATTACATAAGCAAGCTAATGAATACATTTCTTATCAAGCATTGTTGCCTCCTCCTTTGTTTTTCCCCTACCACCCCTGCCCTCCCATCTCCACGACTATACTCCCCCCCCACCGAAATTAATCACATTATTAAGCACAGTATGTGCCCTTTTCTTGCTTGGGAGAGTTACTATACATTTTCTTTACTTTTATTTTCTGCTGGTCTTAGGGCTTGAACTCAGGGCCTGGACACTGTCCTTGGGCTTTTTTTTTTTTTGCTCAAGGCTAGTGCTATCCACTTGTAGATTTTTGCTAGTTAATTGGAGATATGAGTCTCAGATTTTCCTGCCTCGGCTGGTTTCAAACTGTAATCCTCAGATCTCACTCAGCCTCCTGAATACCTAGAATTACAGGTGTGAGCCACTGGCATCTGGTTTCCTTGCTTTTGGACACCATTTGCTTTATGGGAGGCAGATTTTCACTAAATGAAGGGTAGAGGAACACTCAGCAGATCACAGAATGATTTACAACTGACAACAAATTGGAATGACTGAGTGTGTTCTGCATCAACTGAACATATACATGTATGTGCAGGTGGGAAATTGAAAATTTTTGTTTTTGAATTTCTTTTGATTTAAAAAAAATATTGTGCTTGATCAAAATTGTGTGTAATAAATTCACAAGTAAGGTGGATTAACTGTAGTATATTAACCATGTGCAGCCTCTCACCAACTCCACAGAGGAAATTATTCAAATATAAGTCCCGATTTACAACTCATATAGTAGAACCTATGGCTCTCAGAAGGCTGAGATCTGAGAATTGCAATTTGAAGCTAGCCTGGGCATGAAAGTCCATGAGACTGTTATCTCCAATTAACCAGCAAAAAGGGCATAAGTAGACCTGTAGCACAAGTGGCAGAGCATTAACCACGAGCAAAACAAAAACAAAAACAAAAAACCACAAAGCTCAGGAACAGTGCCCAGGACCTGAGTTCAAGCCCAAGGCCTAGAACAAACAGAGAGAGAAACAGATAGATACAGAGGTGGTGATTTACAAGCAAGTAAAGGGCATGTAGTAATCTATCATTTATCCTGAAATAGTCAAAATATATTTCACCTGAAAAGGGCAAAGAAAACTGAGCCACAGAATTAACTTGCTCTCACCTGAAATTCCACTAAAAATGACACTAAAAAATTGTATAAGTCTACAAGAATGAAAAGAGAAGATAGCAGTTGAGAGATACCAACACACTTGTTTTTGGTGCCAGTCTTAGGACTTGAACTCAGGATCTCAGCACTGTCTCTGAGTCTTTTTTGCTCAAGGTTAACAGTCTACCACTTGAGCTATAGCTCCACTTCTGGCTGTTTTAGTGCTTAACTAGAGATCGAGTCTCATGGACTTTCCTGCCCAGGCTGGCTTCAAAATGCAATCCCCAGATCTCAGCCTCCTGAGTAGTTAGGATTACCGGTGTGAGTTATCAGCGCCTGACTTGAATACACTTTTTTGCAAAAGGAAAACAGGTGGGTTGGCAACTGATCAGAATGGAAAAAAACTAAAATATAATTACAACAGGATGAATGCCAAGAACAGTGAGCCAATATGTATCATGGAACCACAGAGGGGAATACAGGTTTACTTTCTGAGGGGCCAAGCTTCTCAGATTAGATTTATAGACAGTAGACACAGCTAAAAGCAAGCAAAAGTGTAATGCTACTGATAGGGCATATGGCTGGATGGACTCCAACTCCCTTACTTCCTCTGCATTACCAGAATATCACCACTCTTCCAATACATCTCCAGGCAGAATGAGACTTCTTTGTAACAACTGAGAAGACCAAGGAAAGTCTATGCATTCCTAACGTTTCTCAGTGAAGCATGAATAGATAGCCAAGGAACACCAGAAATTTGAGGAAAGTTTCCTGCATGAAAGTAAAACAGGAAACACGGAAATGTGGAAGAAACAGAGACAAAAATAGTAGGAAAAAGAGACACATACACAGCGAAAAAAGAAACATCAATAAACTTAATACCTAACTTTAGACACAGATGGTGAATCCATGAAGAAAAAAATACAAGGGTATTAGGTAAACTTAGAGGTCTTGAAAATTATTAGGAAAAAAATGACCAGAAGCCATGGAACGAAATCTAGAGAGTAGAATAATAAGACAAAAAAAAAACCCAAAACAGAAAATAGGAAGATGGAGGTAAGAAAAATAGAAATTAAATCTATGAGATATATTATCCAATTAAAAGAAGCTGAAGGGAACTGAAAGAAGGTGTGGCATTGTCCAAGAATTGTACTTATTACCTGACTAATGGAATTGTAACCTCTTGATACATCACTTTAATAACAATAAAATTATATTTAAAAATGAAGCTGAAGAAAGAAAATATAGAAACAATGGAAGGAAGTAGCATTATCAAAGAAATGATAGAATAAGATTTCCCAGGGAAACATGTATTTTGAGATTGAAAGGACACACCATGCACAGATGATCTGTTCCAAGGAATATCATTGCGATGCTAAATGTACTTAGGGACAAAAAAGTTTCCAGAGGAAAAAAATAGAGGTCAAAGGGCTGGGAAGGTGGTTCAGTGGTAGAGTGCTTGCTTGCATGCTTGAGGCCCTGGGTTCAATTCCTCAGTACCACATAAGCAGAAAAAAAAACCGGAAGTGGTGCTGTGGCTCAAGTGATAGAGTGCTAGCCTTGAGCTGAAGAGCCGAGGGACAGCGCCCAGGCCCAGAATTCAGGCCCCGTGACCAGACCTCCCCCCAAAAAATAGAGGTCAAATACAAAGAATCAAGAACAATAATGGCATTCTCAACAGCAACATTGGAATGGCAGTGAAACAATGCCTTCAAATTTCTAAAGAAAAACTATTTTCATAGAATTCTAAACACAGTCAAACTAACAATTATAAAAATAAAAAAGGCTTTGCCGGGCGCAGGTGGATCATGAGGCTAAGATCTGAGGATAGTGGTTCAAAGCCAGCCCGGGCAGAAAAGTCCCCATGAGACTCTGATCTCCAATAAACCACTCAGAAAACCAGAAGTGGCGTTGTGGTTCAAGTGGTAGAGCGCTAGCCTTGAGCTGAAGAGCTGAGGGACAGCGCCCAGGCCCAGAGTTCAAGCCCCACGACCAACAAAAAATAAATAAATAAATAAATAAAATAGATAGACAGATAGATAGATGGATGGATAGATAAATAAGTAAGGCTATTTTTCAAGCATGTGGTGGACTTAAAGTATTTTTCTTTCATGTATGCTTTCTCAGAGGGCACGGGAGTTATATCCCACCAAAATAAAGAGATCTCCCAAGAAGAGATCTCATTCTTTCACCAAAGAGAAGCAAATTCCCAGTCAGGAGTAGTGAATGCTTAGCCTACCATTAGTTGTAAGATCCACAAAATCATATGGTCTGCCCCTGTTAAGGAAGGGGTGTGTGTGTGTGTGTGTGTATGTGAGAGTGACTGAGTGTGTGTGTGAGTGACTGAGTGTGTGAGAGAGAGACCTAGAAATTCAATCAATCTAGGCCTGAGAACTATGACCAAATGGCCCTTGGCAGAAAACAGTGTTCCCCACCCAATGTTATGCAGTGACCTGGAAAGTGACCCAGGACACATAGAATAAAGACTTGATTAAATTAATAATCTGCAAGGTAAACTCAGAAGTACCACCAGGAAAAATTTAGCCATTTGTCCTAGTCAGGTGATATCCATCACTAATCTTTTCATAATTCAGTCTATAATATAACCCCAGCCACTTCCTAAGCAATGTGCCTTTCACAGAAACTATATATAATTATTAGAACAGTGTTCTACAAGTAGGGACAACACTATTTTTTTTTTGTTGTTGTTGGTTGTGGCGCTTGAACTCTGGGCCTGGGCATTGTCCCTCAACTCTTTTTTTGTTTGTTTTTTGGGGTCTGGTCATGGGGCCTGAACTCTGGGCCTGGGCGTTGTCCCTCAGCTCTTCACCTCAAGGCTAGTGCTCTACCACTTGAGCCACAGCGCCACTTGAGCCTTTTTTCTTTTTGCTTATGTGGTGCTGAGGAATTGAACCCAGGGCCTCAGGCATGCAAGGCAAGTGCTCTACCACTGAGCCACCTTCCCAGCCCCCGTCCCTCAGCTATTCAGCTCAAGGATAGCACTCTACCACTTGAGCCACAGTGCCACTTCCGGTTTTCTGGTGGTTTATTGGAGATAAGAGTCTCAAGGACTTTACTGCCCAGCCTGGAATTGAATCGAGATCCTTAGATCTCAGCCTCCTGTGTAGCTAGGATTATAGGCGTGAGCTACCAGTGCCCAGCTGGACAACACTATTTTAATACTATCTAACTATTAAATACCCATAGTATAAGGCATTATTAGAACAAAAATTATAAGTTCCCTATACTAAACATATCTTTTAAAATATAACACCAACAGTATAATTCCAGTTGTACCATGCAAATCATGTCTTTTGCTTACCAGCAATATAAGATCCACAAAATCATTTGGTCTGCCCCTGCTAAGGAAGATGTGTGTGTGTGTGTGTGTGTGTGTGTGTGTGTGTGAAAGAGAGAAAGAGAGAGAGAGAGAGAGAGAAACAGAGAGAGAGACAGAGAGAGAGAGAGACAGAGAGAGTTCCCCACCTGATGTTATGCAGTGATCTGGAAAGTGACCCAGGCCACATAGAATAAAGACTTGATTAAATTAATAATCTGCAAGGGAAACTTAGAACTACCACTAGGAAAAATTTAGCCATTTGCCCTAGTCAGGTGATATCCATCACTAATCTTTTCATACTTCAGTCTATAATATAAACATGTACCTACTAAGAAATGTGCCCTTCACAGAAACTAAGCATAATTATTAGAACACAGTTGTTCTACAAGTAGGGACAACATTATTTTAATACTATCATACTATTAAATACCTGTATTATAACAAAAATTATGTTCCCTAAACTGAACATATCTTTTAAAATATAACAACAGTATAATTCCAGCTGTACCATGCAAATCATGTTGCCTTTTCATCTCCAAAAAAATATGCTTGTTTCCTTTCTGTTCAGTTAGAGTGGTAGACATGAACAAATGTTGTTCTAGTAAATTATTTACCTGGTAGTGGAACTGAATGGGCTGTAGTTGGCTGTCACTCTGAGTCATCTTCCTAGCCAGGGCCTCTTTCAGTGCAAGGGCTTTATTCAATTCAATCAACTCCTTAGACATCTGAGCTTGACGTAGAGCATGTTGAGTCGTAAAAGCATCAGAAGACCTGGTGGTCTCTGGACTCGTTTCTACTTGCTAGAAAAGATAATGATCAAGATAATAGAGGATGATGATCTGTAAGAAAAACTAGAAGTTTCTAAGGAACTAGAGTTCCTTAGGCACTATGGCATCAAGTCTTGCAACCATATCTTTATCAGCAATACCTTTGTTCTTTTACTACTCTGACTTCTCATATGACATTTGCTTTAAACATCTGAAATTAATCAAGGTAGTCTATTTCCCTGCTTGCATAAGTGGTTTCTTACATACTTCAGCTTTCTTGTTCTTTCCACCATGATTTATCTCCTATCTTCCTTCTTTCAGAATATAAAAACTACCAGTGTGTATTTTTTGTTGAGTAAAAAGCTGTCCCAAGCCTTTCATTTTGATTTTACTCTGTACATTTTAGTAAATATTTAATACATTTTTATCTAACCTTGTGATCCAAACACTTAAATTATTTTTCTTGGTTCTTTTAGCCCTTAAACATCATATTGACAGAAAAATATACTGAAAGAAATTCTATTCTATTTGTCTTCTGTCCCATTTGTCCTCTGATGACTTTTTGAAATTGCTGTAATTCCCTAATTTGTTCCTCTCACCTCTCATCATTTTAAGTTGTGGGAAATAGATGCAGAATACTAGCATCTAACAAGAAATCAGTAGGTCAGATTATAAATATATAAAGTGACATCCCTGAGAAATCCTGCCACCCATTACCAGTTATACTGTTAAAGACAGGGCCTCACGAGGTTAGGGATTTTATGAAACACATTTATACAAACACACACAGATTTACACACACACACACACACACACACACTTTATAGTATAAAGATTTATACTAGATTCCCACGACATTCAATGGTTCTCCATAGAATGGCAGTAATCACACTCTCTTTTTAGTCTAGTGATAAATGATAGGAAATGGCAGTGAGAACTCCTGTTTCCACACAAAGGGGCCAATTACTTACAGCTTCTGGCTCCATAGAAGTATCAATGGCTGCAGCCATGCAAGCAGCAGTTTCATCCTGCAGTAACAAATGTTTCAATTTAGAAAAGGTTTCTGAAGTGATGTTTGCTAGGGGATTTTATGTCGGCTGCTGATAATTTTTTTGAGTATATACAAAGAACATTTAAGTTACTGGAACCAGTAATCCTAATAGATATCCTAATAGACATATGTTTCTCAAGAGTTTCTTCTCCATAAAGGAAAATTGTGTAGTTTTTGGAAAGTAAGTAAGAAAGTAAATAAGTAAATAAATAAGGTGGTGAGGCAACTTATATATTTATTGTATCTCTCCTGCTTTGCCAGAAAGCACCAAGCTAGACTGAAACACTCAGCCATTCCAATTAAGCCAAAGTTTAACCCATTTCAGACACTGTATCTTTTCTTTTTATGCCTTTACCACTAAGTCTAATGGACAATTCTACTATCTCTACTTCTACCAATGTACAATTCTAGTTCTTATGGGAATATCATCAAAGGATAGACATACAAAATAATAGCAATGCAAAAAGTGAATTAGGTTTACTTTTGATTTTTATTTTAAAGTGAGTCAAGATAGCAAGATCTTCTTCAACAAGGAAATGTGTCCTTGATGAGTACCCTACAAAACTGTGCTTGGGAAGCCAAGAAAATGTTCTGTAGCCTCTGTCTTTCACATGGATAAGATCTGATCATATTTAGCTGCTCTAGGCAATTACTAGGAGTGGAAGGGTTAATACTAGCTCTCTCCCAGAGCAAATTCCATTTTTTGGCACAGGAACAACAAACTCAGAAAGGAAACTTAAGACCAGTTATTAGAATTAACTTGTTTAGAAACTATCATGTGAACAAGGTCTGTTCTCACCACTGAAATTTAGGCTGTATTTGGCATTGTAACACGTTGACTACTGCTTGTATTTAAGTGATCTTCAAAGCCCAAGGAAGAAAGCATTGTTTTCAGGAAGACATGTGATTAAGGAGTTCATTGGGTAAGAAGCCTTTTGGCTTAATAGAAAATGAAGAATTAGAGGTAGCACATGAAGTATCTCTACCAGCCCTGTGAAATATTATATGGTTGATAAAACTTAAATCTCAGTACCTTTAAGGTAAGGAGTGAGGACACCTTTAATAGCAGTTTCTCATCATAATTTACAGCACTGGAATTTCTCTGTTAGGACACACTAAATCCTTAAAACACAGATAACAATGGCTAGAGGCAGAGCACCAGACTAAAAACAGATCACACCAATTATATGATCATCATTACACTTTCATTTCTCCTATGTTTGAATCTTCAATATAAGCCTACCCTAGATTATTAGGGTTTATGACACTGGCTTTTGGAGACCTTCCCTCCCTGTTACTCTTTCTTTCCTTCTTTTTCTCTCCCCATCCCCTCACTTTCTTCTACTTCTTCACCCTGCGGCCTGGGATGGCCTCCAACTCACTATGTAGCTCAAAGTTCTAAGATTCCAAGTATGAACCACCATATCTGTCCTGATGCCATTTTTGCAGCATTTTCCAGAGGGTCGGGATAAAGTAGATGAATTAATCTTTGAAGAAGATATTCTGTTATTGTGGGTTTACTTTTGGTTTTAAGCTTGGTGAGATTTTACAATGCTAAGGTTTAAGCTTATGTCTATAATGATACATTTTGCATGAATATGGCAAGATTTTGCTTTGACAATTCTAAATGTGTAAATATGTAACAGCAGGATTTATTCCAAATAACAATCTTCCCCCTTCAGCTGCCTATTCCAAGGCCCCAAATTAAAATCTCTCGTAAGTAAAAGATATGATTTGCTCAAGTTGAAGGTCAAGAGATCAGGGGCAGGGTACATTGTACTATATTAAGCAACAAAACCTCCTAAAATAAAGTGTGTGCTTAGAGGCTGTAAGGTAATAACCATTACTGGGCATGCAAAATGCTTTTTATGGAATTGATGATGGAAGAGGGAAGTATAAACAAAATATTTGATTTTGTATGAACTGAAAGGACTGCATTAATTTCTGCACAAGTAACCGCAATAAGGATGCTTGCTTGAATTATATTTTAAGGGAAGAAATGGTGCAGTTTAGCACTTAAAGCCCCAAGAGGAATATCTAGGAACAATGGTTGCCTTCATAACTGAAAAGGGGGTGTTCACCTGTCACTTAAAATAAAAATAGGTTTAATTCAGAATGAAGGGCACAAGCATTTATATCTGAAACATTTTGCTTTCACTGTAGCAAGTCTTAATAAAAGCTAGGGGAATATACTGCTTTGCATTAAAAAAATGAAGTTTGGGAGGGTCTCCAAACAATAAACTTGGGGACCTGTGATTCAGAATCCAACAGGAGCTTTATATAAAATGGTTTATTCTGTCTAACTGTGACAGTGGATGGAAGCCAGGAACCTTATCAGCTTGTGGCAATCTTTAGCACCCTCTTACTGCATGTGCCAAATGCATTTTAGTGGCAGACAGCAATTCTACAAAGTTCTTCTCAGCCAAACACCACTATGACAACTTCCTCTACAGGCATACCAGGCAATGGTTACACTGCCAGATCTTCCGTGAGGATACTTAATCTTACTTTACTAATTTGGTTCCCTTGGTTTCCTTTCTTTCCTATGGGAATCAAAGCTCCAGAAATGAGGTAGTAAGCAATCCTCTAAGGTTGGTGTGGTAGCCAGGAATTAGTGTCTTGGGTCATTATTTTCTGAGCATATAATTTTTGGCTCCAGTGGGCTTGTTTTTGTGCCTGTCCTAGGGCTTGAACTCAGGGCGTGGGCACTGTCCCTGAGCTTCTTTTGCTTGAGGCTAGCCAGTCTATCACTTGAGCCACAGCTCCACTTCTGGCTTTTTTGGTAGTTTTAGTGGAAATAAGCTTCCAGTAGGCTTTTGTACACTATATTATGTCAATTTGTTTTTGTGTGCTGGTCCTGGTTGAACTCAGGGTTTGGGTGCTGTCCCTGAGCTTTTTTGTTTTTGCTAAAGGCTAGCACTCTATCACTTGAGCCATGGCTTCATTCTAGGTTTTTTGGTGGTTAATTTAAGATAAGAGTCATATGGACTTTCCTGACTGGGCTGGTTTTGAACCATGATCTCCAGATCTCAGCCTCTTGAGTAGCTAGCTAGGGTTACAGGCATGAGCCACAGGTGCCTGGCTTAAATTATCTTAACTTTGAAATTTTAATTTATTATACAAGGTTTTTATATTTTAGAGGTCTCAGCTATATTGAAGTGACATTTGTGTTTGTGATAGCCATTCTCTAGTATGCACTCTATACTTCAGCCATGTTTTTCATACTATTTTCTAAAGTTAACTTTTGGACTCTTTCCTTCTATATAGCTTGTAATTTCCCTTCTCTCTGCATGGCAAACCCCTATTCATTTTTAGGATCCAGTTTCTTCTGTGCTTATGCCCTGAACTTTCTGGACTAACAATCACCCCTTCCTTCCCTGATGCTCTCACAGCACTACTAATGTAAATGCATTAAGACAGACACTAGGGAGACTGCCTGGTTTTCTTTGTCTTCAAATCCTAGCCCTTGTCATGACTCCTACCTATGAACCTTAATCAACTTATAAACTACAAGGTTTGAAAAAACAACTCTTAAAATAATCTGGCAACTATGAGAATGGGATCACACCGACATGTTCCTAAAGATAGGGCATGAAAAGTGGAACAATCTCTAATCAAAAGTTTCATACCAATTAACAACAAAAATTGTTATCTGGGCCAAACCACATGGACACATACATCTTTTCATCACCTGTAAAACTTCAATTCTGCCTCAACTTGGAGAGTTTCTGCAGTTAAGGAGGTCCCTGAGTATATGAACTGAATAATGACTTTAAACCCAATCAGAGTGACTTAAAAATCACTTCCTTTTGACAGCAACACAGCATTTAGCAAGCTTACATAGTTGGTAAATTGCAGAAATAGCTTCAAAACAGAGTATGTCTGTCTGGCTTTGTAAGCCAAGTTATCAATTATTGTGCTCTGTTTCTTGGATGGGTAGGTGAGCTATAGTTTTGGATCTATCATGATAGGTTTATATAGTACTTACTCTACAATACTACCTAATAGTTTGGGGGGAGTTTATTCATTCATATTCTTAGAACTAGCTATCATAACTTTCCAATTGACAACACTGTATATTTTTTCATATACTCTTTGTAGATGATTTTATGATATCCTATTAACAGTTCTGGCAAACACAGACAAAATCAAAAATGGGAAATTTCCCATTCTGGTAAAATGAAAAAGCTGTTCCCCAAAGCAAGAAATTACCAATAGGCATTTACATGTACATTACTGCTTCAGAGTAACAAATATGAGAATGTGGATGAAATAAAACTAAACATAATCTCTTAATATAGTATGTTATCATGTGACTTCAACAGAGAAGGAACACTAAACATAAAAATAAATTTTTTAGGATTGTGAGATTGAGAATTTTTCTGGTGAAAACAACAGAATCACCCCATCTCCAAAACATATGTAGTTTAGGATAGCCTTGAACTTGTAATCTTCCTGACTTTGCTTCCTAAATGCTTTGCTTCCTAAGTACTTGGTAGCATATGTGTGCTACCATACCCAGCTTATAATAGTTCTAAAATTAGTTAAGAATGAGAAATTATGGCACAATGATAATTTAACCTTATTTATTATTGACTATGTTCTCCTTGGTTGCTATAAGTTACCTGTTATAATCAGCTTAAATTGAGGTATATGGTAAAAGGTCTTTTATTAAGTTAACCTACACTAAGAGGAAAATAAATTAATGATTACTGCTATTGCTACCTAGACATAGAGCATTGCTATGCTACTATATATGCTCGATTAGAATATGGCATTTTTTGTGCCAGTCCTTGGGCTTGAACTCAGGGCCTGACTACTAACCTTTAGCTTTTATGCTCAAGGCTAGTGTTTACCACTTGAGCCACAGCTATATTTCTGGCTTTTTGGCGGTTAAGTGGAGGTAAAAGTCTCATGGACTTTCCTGCCTGGGCTGGATTTGAGCCATGATTCTTTGATTTCCAAGTAGCTAGGATTACACATGTGAGCCATCAGTGCCTGGAAAGAATATGGCATTTTTGTGTGTACTTGTCTTTTTTGTTCAAGGTTGGTGCTCTATCACTTGAGCCACATCTGGCTTTTGGCTGGTTTATTGGAACTTTGTGCCCTGGTTTTGATTCTCAGATCTCTACCTCCTGGGTAGGTATCATTACAGGTGCAGCCACCAGTGCCAGACTTTCTTTTCTTCTTCTTCTTCTTTTTTTTTTTTGGTGCCAGAACTGTGGCTTGGACTCAGGGCCTCGGCATTGTCCCTTAGCTTTTTTGCTCAAGGTTGATGCCACTATTTGAGCCGCAGCTCTATTTCCAGCATTTGTGTGTGTGTGCTCTATCACTTGAGCCACATACCTACTTCTAGGTTTTTGGTGGTTAATTGGAGATAAGAATTTTATAGACTTTACTGCTGGGCTGGCTTCAAAGTGTGATCCTCAGATCTCAGTCTGTTCAGTTGCTACATTACAGGTTTGTATGAGCTAACAGGGCTCAGACTTTTGTTTTTCTTTTTGAGACAGTTTTACTATTTAGCTAGGTTGCCTGGAACTTGTGATCCTCTTGTCTTACTCTCCCAAGTGCTGGCATTTCAGGTGTGCACTACCATGCCTGGTTAATATGTAAATATTCATGTGTCATTGCATATGTGACTTATGAGGGTTTTACTTGAAAAAAAACCTAAGGCTCAGATCATATTCAATTATCTATAATCTGTGTTCTCAAGCAGCTCCCAATTGAATTAGTTGAGCATAAGGTTGGGAAATTAGAAATGCTTATGTGCCTCAAGAGAAACAAATAAAAGCAATAACGTCTATTACAATGTTCCTATTTTGCTTACCGATAGCTCGGTAATCACTTGTTGCAAGCTACGAATAATCTCTACATTTTCTTTTAGTTCTTGATCTTCCAAAGTTTCCGCTAGCTTTTGAAGATCCAATTTGCAGCTGAAAATTCAAGCAAAGAACCTAAGGGTTAATCACACTTCGAAGAGACAAAGATGGATACAATATGAAGATGGAATAAGTTGCTAATAAATATCTGGTAGAAAACTCACACTGCATGCTGCTTGAGCTCTTCTAGCTTGGCGTTCATTTTTTCATTGGCTTGCTCTGTCTGCAACAAAGACCCAGGAGATCATCAGTGGCAGTGCCTGACAGCCTCATCAAATCATGTTCTCTCCTATACTCTTATGGATGAAAACCTAGCTTGAGAGACTGCCTTCTTTGCAGTAACAGAGAATTTTACTGGGCTTTCAGTCAGTGAGAAATGTGTTTTTAACAGAGTCATGGAAATTTGCCCCAAAGTCAACATAAGCTACTAAAAATAGCACCCAAGCAGCTGGGTTTTATGCTTGCCATGAAGCTCAGACTATGGGGTGGAGTGTGAAGCCTTAATTCCATACAGAACTTTGCAACTGGAAGAAAAAGCAGTATATCCTGGCATGCTACTCACTGCTATTTGCAAAAAAATAAAAAAAAATCACTTTAAACTGCCTCCTATACTGCACTGTTCCATAGTCTCAGCATCAGCATATTTAAAACATAAAAGGGCCTCACAGTAAATTTGAGCTGACATTATTTTTTAAGTTATACTATCTGATATGGTAGGCTAGTTTTAGCAAAAAAGTAAAAAAGGTTAAGGCCCAAGAAAAATGTGGGCAAAAAAATGAAATGGCAGGAGGCAGCTATGTTTTGGGAAGGATGATTGATATTTTCAATCATAGAATCTGGCATGCTGGATACTGCAAGATATTTGGGAAAGATGATTTATATAGAACAGAAATGTGCTTGTTTTAAAGTCCTGACAGGATATCAAATAATAAGCCTATCAGACACTCATTTCAACAATCTTATAAAGGTCATATGGGTATGTGGCTAGACTAACAAGTACTGTCTGTTACGTCAGCCAAGCACATACACATGTGAAACACAGCTTCCAGAATGAATTACTTCAAAGGCATAAAATGAAGCAGTAGAGACAGAAAATTTTATATAAAAACCCTTAGATCCCACTTTCCCTTTCTGCTAGTAATGGACAATACAATAGACATAAAATTTTAAAGAAAACTTTAAGTAGCTAACCTTTCCTTAACTAGAGAGTACACTGATGCCTGAAGGTGTATACATTACAGAGGTTCAATTACGTTCTAGTAGAAACTCACTTTTACTTCTGGCAATGGTTGTATAATCAAAGACTAAATTGTATTTAGGCTGTAGAAAAACCTCAGTGACAGAGCCACCAGTAGGTTTCAGAACCTGTATAATCACTCATATAGTGATCTACTATTTGGCAATTAACCACGTTGAAAATCGGTTGAAATTATTTTCCAGATTGCAGCTGTTTAGATAGCTATGAAAGATGACAGCATTAGGGGAAGGGAGAAAGAGAAGAAAGATCTTAGGGAACAGTTACTTGGTATAGATTGCATATACTTTATCTTAAGTGCTTGGGACCAGAAAGAAGTATTTCAGATTTCAATTCTTTGTTTTTCAGATTTGGAAATATTTGTATATATGATGAGATGTATTTGGGATGATAATAAATGAAAAATTTATTTATGCTCCATATATTCTATCTCTTTCTATATCTATCGATCTGTCTGTCTATCTATCTAAATATATAGTTGACGATAACTTTATACAACATTTATAGTGAACCTGAATTTTGATTGTGATTTGTCATGTGAGGTCAGGTATGGAATTTTCTGTGGGGTCATGTCAGTGCTTAAAGAGTTTTGGATTTTGAAGCATTTCAAATTTCAGATTTTCAGATTAGGGACACTCAATCTGAATTACAGATAAGAGTAGGCAAGATTTTAGGTAACTTGATTCTTTTCTGTATTTCAGAATAAATGTATTTTAAAATAGCATTAACTGGATTTTTTGTGGTAGATATACAGCTATCCACTATATAGTTTTTGAATAAATTATTCTGTATGTTTGATAACAAACCCATATGTTTAATCCACAGAGTTCTCTTCAGGATACAGAAATATAAATATAGGTCTTTCCTTATTACTTTTTTCACATAATAAGAACCATGTTAAACATTTTAGAAACTTGGGTCAGTAAATGTCTTGAGTACTAGTATTTTAGTTTTAAGGCCTTACCAAAATGATCCTCTCCAACATCTGGGCTGTCTGACCAACTGCCTCACTCAGCCCACGACTTAACTTTTCATTCTCCTCTGCTAGAGACTGGTTCTTCTCCATCAGAGATTGTAGATTCTCTGATGGTTCCACACTAAAACAAAAAGTAAAATTATTTTTTAAAATCCCATAACTGACAGCATCTGTGTCAAAGGTAGATAAAAATACATTTCACAAGCCTTTTGGGTAGAGATTGGGTTAAAATGGCCTTATGAAAATCTGTGAAATGGGTCATCCCAATCTGGCCATAGACTGGTTGAACAAGAAATAAACTGCTATAATGGTTAAGGATTAGCAGAGGGTAAGAATGTAAAGCCAGATAACATTTTAACAGGAAGATCTAACCTTTACTTTGGCTATTAATTTAGGATATTCCTATTTTTTTGCCATATAATTGAGAAAGGAAGGCTAGTTGTAGCAAAAATACATCTGTTCTGTCCCTTTTCTGTCCACCCTCATCCTTCATTAAAGGTTAAAGAATAGGAACTGAGACTGTAACTAAGGGTAATGCACTTGCCCAGCATTTATGAGGTTCTGGGTTCAGTCTTCTCTATGGCAGATGCAAAGTAAATGATCAAGGCTGTAGGGAAGGAAGAAGTATGGAGAAAGCAATGACACAGCTCAGGGTTGAAGCAAGCTGATCAACCCAAGTGGACTTCCTATTTACTGAAAAGTTTAGAAAAATAGCATTTAAGAACTCAAAAATTTTAAATGAAGACCAGTGGGCACTAAGAGCACATTTCACAGGTCTTTGTAAATGTTTCATTCCTAATGTAGGCTCTGCTTGAAAAGGATGACCCATAGCCTCTTATTCATTTGTCTTGCAAAGTTAAATTGCTTAGAGTGGTGATCTCAACAATGGTATCCATTTCAAACATGAATGGAAGGGAGGGACAGAAATGGCTTGAAGAAATACATGCAGACAGAGAAGAACCTTTGGAACTTGTGCTTATTATGTAGTATCAATTCCAACTAATAAAGCAGACTGGTAAGAAGCACACTTTAAAAAAATCCATTGGTAAAAAATGTTCAAATGACTAGAAAACAGGACTGGTTCAAAAAAAAGATCAAGGGAAATAGGAAGATTTGATCTGAAGACTGAAGGAAAAAATGAATAGCTGTCAAAGCTATCATAAAGGGCAAAAAGGAAAGGGATCAGCTGTTCTCAATCTCAACAAAGGATAGAAAAAGATCTCAGAAATAAAGTAGATGCCAGGTTAAGACCTCTATTAATTCTCAGAAAAGCTTAGCTAGCTCTTTATTAAAAAGTTAACAGCAAGGTCACACAATATGGTTTCCTGTTACATTGTTAAAAATTCAATTTCCTATGAAGAAATGTCAATTAAAACATGGTTTGGGACTGGGAAGTTGGCTCAGTGGTAGAGCGCTTGCCTTGCATGCATGAGGCCCTGGGTTCGATTCCTCAGCACCACATAAGCAAAAAGAAAAAAGCCAGAAGTGGCGCTGTGGCTCAAGTGGTAGAGCGCTAGCTTTGAGCTGAAGAGCTGAGGACAGTGCTCAGGCCCAGAGTTCAGGCCCCACGACCGGACCCCCCCCCCAAAAAAAAACATGGTTCATAAAAATAAACTTAGTGCTGGGCACTGGTGGCTCATGCCTGTAATGCTAGCTACTCAGGAGGCTGAGAAATGAGGATTGTGGTTGGAAGCCAGCCTGGGCAGAAAAGTCTCTGTGAGATTCTTATTTCCAATTAACCACTCAAATATAGGAAGTGGCAGAGCATTAACCTTGAGTAAAAGCAGCTCAGGAATAGTGCTTAGGTCCTCAGTTCAAGCCCCACAACTGACAAACAACTACTACTACTACTTTGTAAATTTAGTGTCATTTTAGATTGCTGGTTCTACAGTTCCTTATTCTTTTGTGTGTGTGCATGTGCACACGCACTCCAGTACTGGGGCTTGAACTCAGGGCCTCTTGCTCAAGCTAGACTTTTCTGTTCAAAGTTTGTTGTGCTTTACCACTTGAGCCACAGCTCCAATTCTGGCTTTTGTCTAGTTAACTGGAGTTAAGAATCTCCCAGGCTGGCTTATCTTACTCTTTTCTGACCAGTCTGACTTCATTTTCTTCTGTCTGTGATCCTCAGATCTCAGCCTCCAGAGTAACTATGATGACAGGCTTGAGTCATCTGCTCTGAGCTAATTCCTTATTCATGAAATCCTCCATGTCTGTCATGTAAGTCATAAGATTCTGAGTGATGGTATTTTCCAAGGCTTTTTCCTCCCTAAAGTGTTTCTCTAAATGGGAGAATCATATTTAAGCCAACTGTTCATTTTTTGCAAGGAAATTTAGTACCTATAAGTAGGATCTTTTACATGATTTAAGGTTAATGCTTGAATATTTAAGCACTGTTACAATTAGGTTGACACTTCTACAGCACTATGAGCTAGACTCTACTGTACATGATTTACATATATTAAGCATATTTAATTCTCATGGGAGCCCTAGTAGTTAAGTTCTATTGTTATTCCCATTTCATACTAGATGAAACTGATGAACAAAAAAATTAAATAAGGCAGAGTCACAGAACTGGTGCTTTATGATAAAGCTGGGATTTGACTCAGCAGTCTAGTTTCTGAGTCCATACTCCTAACTAACATGCTAACTTCACAGATGGGTCATGTACCAATGAGAAGGCTACATAAAAGCTCTTCAAGTAATATGGGGAAAAGTTCTTTGCAAGATGTAAAAAAGCATTTACAAAAACATATGTAGCAGAAGATATAACAAAAACAGTATAAGACCATAACATGAAAGAGGGCATCCATATTCATGGGAGAAAGCATTAAGAGTGAAGCAGATGCCTTGCATGCTTGAGTCCCTGGATTCGATTCCTCAGCAACATATAAGCAGAAAAAGCTGGAAGTGGCACTGTGGCTCAAGTGGTAGAGTGCTACCCTTGAGCTGAATAGCTGAGGGACAGCACCCAGGCCCAGAGTTCAGGCCCCATGTCTGACAAAAAATAAAAAAGAGTAAAGCAGAAAGTAGGCGAAGGGCCAGGCAAAGATCAGACAAAAAAGAAAATACAATAAGCTAGTGTTTTCTGTTTCATATGCTATTTCAATGCCAATAGTAGGAATTCAGATTAGCTGAACAGGTACAAGTTTATACTGAAAATAATTACAGAAGCTCCAACAAGACATATCCCAAACCAAAAGGACATAATACAAGGACAAAAGTAAAATGTTTATGTAATAAATATGAACTTTTTTGCAAACAGCTTTATGAAATGCCCCTAAAATATAAGTACACACTTTTTCAGAAAAGTAGTAAGTAGTATCATTATTTCTTTGAAAATTATTGAACATTTAAGCTTAATTGTTTGATTAATCAATTGTTTCTTAGAGTTTATAATTTTGGCAGCTGAAATATAACATATAACATATTTGAGAAAGATGCCATCTCTTTAGTAGCCTTAATTTTCCATACATAAAGTAAGTTTAGGATAAATTAAAAATATAGGAAAGGCTGCAGTATGGCTCAAGTGATATGGCCTAGCTAATGTGAGGCCCTGATTTCAAACTTCAGTACCAACAGTAAAGGAAAATGGAACAATTGCTTTTATTTATTTTTTTTTTTTGGGTCCGGTCGTGGGCCTGAACTCTGGGCCTGGACGCTGTCCCTCAGCTCTTCAGCTCAAGGCTAGCGCTCTACCACTTGAGCCACAGCGCCACTTCTGGCTTTTTTCTTTTTTGCTTATGTGGTGCTGGGGAATCGAACCCAGGGGCTCATGCATGCAAGGCAAGCGGAACAATTGCTTTTAAAATGAGTTTAATAAGCAAACAACCTTTGAACAGCCCTTTAAGTGATGCCTTAAAATGTTTCTCACTTTATCCAACATTCCTAAATATTACCAGGAAACCCAAGCCATATAAATCATAGGCAGAAAACTAGAAAGAAAGGGTAATCATTCTAAGTGATAAAATGATGGCAACTTGGAGTTTTATTCTCTTCTTTATGCATACTTCCTTAAATGCCCTATAAGAAGCAGCACATTAAAAAAAGATGAATTACTGAAACCAAGGTTATCATGCACAAGAAAAAGTCCAAATGGTAAAACAAAATGTAAAACAATATTATACTAGAAAAAACATGGGTGGAGGGATAGATTTTCTAACAGAATCCAGATAGTTGTGGTAGTGTATGCTTATAATTCCGGCACTTGGAGGGCTAAAGCAGGAGGATTGTGAGCTAATGGCCAGTCTGGGCTGTATAGTGAGTTCAAAGCCAGCGTGAATTACAGTGAGACTCTATTACAAAATTCCAAAAGAGAGGGTATAAAAAGAAACAGAAATGTAAAGAGAATGTAATTGGATAACTAGTCTGTCAAAAACTTAGGCAGTTTTCTTTTTGTGGTAGTGAAATTTGAACTCAGGGCCTCATATTTGCTAAGCCACATCCTTACTTGGCAATTTCTTAAGAAATTAAGCATTATAGTTAGATGCTGCTATAATTCCTAGTTACTTAGTAGGCTGAGATCTGAGGATTGCAGTTTGAAGCCAGCCGGCACAGATTCTTTATCTTCAATTAACCAGCAAAAAGGCCTTAAGTAAAGCTGTGACTCAGGTGGCAAAAAACTAGCCTTGAGCAAAAACAGCTCAGAGACAGCACCTAGGCCAAGTTCGTCTCAGAACCAGCACATGCCCAAAAAGTTAAACATTAGGACCCAAATTGTATTTCTAGATATCTACCCAATGAAACCATGCTTATGTGAACACTTGCAAAGGAATGTACACAGCAACATTATTCGTAATATTTAAAAAGTACAAATAACCCAAATAAAAAATATATAATATGGTATAGTTAGACAGTTGTAAACTATTTGCCAATAACAAGAATGAAGTATGGTACATTCTATACTATGGATGAAATCTCAAAAACAACACAAGTAAAGAAGCTAACAGAAACAATGATGAATAATACTCCTTGGTACAATTAATGCCCACATAGAATAAATGACAAGATAGCTAAACAGGATCTATGAGGGGAAAGTTAGTAGGGATACGGAAGACTAACAAAGAGGGTGAATGAGAATATGGTCACTGTATGCCATTTGCATATATGAAAATAGAACAATGAAACCATTTTAAGAAGCCACTATTAGGTTTTGGTGAAGATATGAAGACACTGGAAATTTTGTGCTTTGCTGGTAAGACTGTTAAAGAGCGCAACTCCTATAGAAAACAGTACAAAGTTTTAATTGAAAAATTAAAAACTGGGCTGGAAGGTGATTCAGTGGTAGAGTGCTTGCCTTGCATTCATGAGGCCCGTTCAATTCCTCAGCACCAAATAAGCAGAACAAGTCAGAAGTGGCACTGTGGCTCAAGTGGTAGAGTGCTAGCCTTGAGCTGGAGAGCTGAGGGACAGCCCCCAGCCCCCAGAGTCCAGGCCCCACAATTGACAAAAAAAAAATTAATTAATTAAAAACAGGTCAGACACCAGTGGCTCACATCTGCAATTCTAGTTATTCAGGATGTTGAGATCTGAGGACTGAAGTTCACCCAGGGTAGAAAAGTCCATGAGACCCTTATCTTGAATTAACCAGTAAAAAGCTAGAAGTGGAGGTGTGATGTAAGTGGTAGAGCACCCACCTTGAGCAGAAAAGCCAACTGAGAACTCATACCAGCAAAATTTAAACAAACAAAAATGGAATTAATATATAATCACATTATTTCTTGGTATATACCTAAAGGAACTGAAAGTAGGGATTCAGACAGGTATTTCTACTCAAAAGATGTAAGAAACAAATTTTTACTAACAGGTGAATGGATATATAAAATGTTGTATATATGAAAGGGGTGACATTTCCCAAAAGAAATTTACTCATTACCTGACTTTAGTAACTATAACCCCTCTGTACATCATCTTTATAATAACAATTAAAAAGTAAAAATAAATAAAAAGTTAAAAAATGTTGTATATACAAACGATAGAATATTGTTCAGGCTCATGCCATTTAATTTCTATGTATTTGTGAATTTCCTGAAATTCCTTATTATTAAGTTCTAATCATTGCATTTAGAAAAGATGCTTGACATTCTTTCAACTTAAAATCTAGTTAGCTGGTATTAGTATTGTTATCCCTGTTCTTTTTTGGTTTCCATTTCAGTGGAAAAATCCTTTTCTATATCTTTATTTTCAGTATATGAATGCTCTTCAAAGTGAAATGTTTCTCCTGTATGTAGCATATATAGTTGGGTCTTGTTTTTCATTTCATTTCTCTGAGCATACATTTTTGCATAACTATGACTCTTAGACTTATTGCATTTCACAAACATAAGATTAAAACAATTAAAACTAATGAAGATGTAGGGGCAATTCAAAATGAAAGACAAACAGTAACTGGGAAACAGCATCCTGCCTGGATACTCTAAGCCTAAATACAGAAAAAAATTATACATAAATATTATAATCTAGTTCATAGAAGTTTCTCAAGGCAATTTGGAAATTACTTCATGTGTACACTAGAACTGAACATGTAAATAAATAGACTGCAGAAAAGGAGACCTTGATTTTTACTATTTGAGAAAGAAATTATAAATAAGGAAAGGTAAGAAGCTAAGATGAACAAAACAGTGTTAGAAAAGGATTAAGAATCATACGAATGAAAATCATGGTTCTTCATATATATTCAAAATGTAGATGACTTTATGTATGAATTATATGCAGGTATTTCTGAGCTCTACCTAATGAGAGGGCTTAGAGGCAGTGACACCCCAGAAACAATGAGTGCAACTAGTGCCAGCACACAGTCTTAGGTTTCTAAGCACCATTTTCCAATTAAAGAAACTAGGACTCCTTGACATATGGTTAATTCTAGACCTGATGCTGGGAAAATGTAGTTTGGAACATCCTGTGGAAATGCTCAAAAAACTTGAAGACTTGTTAAAGAATATAAGAGCAACATGAAAGGAGATCAGAATGGACAAGGTGGTAATAGAGCAATGCACTTCATTGCTTAAATGATAGTATTCGATGTTAAAACCACAAACAAAATAAGTACCCACATATCTATGTGGGCCATCAAAGAAATAATGGGGGAAAGAGCTCTAACAGTAGCATTCCAACTAATACAATTTGAAGATCCAATACATTAGTTAAGTCCTAAGTAGTAGTAATGTGGGTAAAATCACTTCCTTGACACAAAGTGCTACCAAAAATTTTAGGATATCAAAGGAAAAAATTATCAGGAAAAAAAGCGTGTGTTAGAAAATACATTTAACTCATCTATGACTCTTACTTTATAGATCCAGGCAGGGTACCTCCATGGGCTTGTAGCAGTAAGACTTGTAGCTGTTGTACCTGTGAGAAGCAAAGAAAAATCAAACTAATCAAAACTATCCCTCTGTGATGAAATTACCACAATTAACAAGAGTAATTAAGTAAATTTTTACTCAGTGCCTATGAAGTCTAAGGCATTTTAGGCACATGATATTATTCAATAAATATTTAATATTAGAATGAATAAACAAATAAGTGAATAACAAAAAGGACATTTTCTCCAATAATAATAAACATAGCTGGAGCACCAGTGGCTCATGCCTATAATCATAGTTTCAGGAGGCTGAAATCTGACGATTGCTGTTCAAAGCCAGTCCAGACATCTTCAATTAATCAGCAAAAAGCCAGAACTGGAGCTCGTGTAGAGCACTAGTTCTGAGGACAAAATCTCAGGAATAGTACCAAGGCCTTGAGTTCAAGCCCCAGGACTGTGTATGCACACACGTGCATACACACATACAAATAAACATAAGCTGGACACTAGTGGTTCACACCTGTAATCTTAGCTACTTAGGAGGCTAAGATCTGAGGATAGTGGTTCAAAGCCAACCTGAGTATGAAAGTTTGAAATTTTTTTTTTTGTCCGTCATGGGCCTGAACTCTGGGCCTGGCACTGTCCCTCAGCTCTTCAGCTCAAGACTAGCACTCTACCACTTGAGCCATAGTGCCACTTCTGGCTTTTTCTATTCATGTGGTACTGAGGAATCGAAGCCAGGTCCTCATGAACGCAAGGCAAGCACTCTACCACTAAGCCACTTTCCCAGTCCCAGTTTGAGAGATTCTTATCTCCAATTAATCACAGAAAAAGCCAGAAGTGGTGCTGTGGCTCAAGTAGTAGAGTGTTAGCCTTGAACAAAAATAGCTCAGAGGCTGGGAATGTGGCTTGGTGGGAGAATGCTTGCCCAGCATGCATGAAGCCCTGGGTTCAATTCCTCAGTACCACATAAGTAGAAAAAGCTGGAAGTGGTGCTGTGGCTCAAGTGGTAGAGTGCTAGTCTTGAGCACAGAGAGGCTCACAGTGTCCAGGCCCTGAGTTCAAGCCCCAGGACCGGCAAAAAAAAGTAGCAAGAAAGAAAGAAAGAAGCTCAGGTACAGCATTCAAACCCCAGGACCAGAAAAAAAAAAGAATAAACATTAAGAAAAAAAAGGAAATAGAACTGAGTGTGGTATTTTATAATTCAGATGATACTTTGGGCAAGTAAATTAATTATATTCTGTGTAGTGGTCTCTAGGAAGGAAATGAAAGACAAGGATAGGGAAGAAAAGAGATGAACTGCATAGCATTTACCACTGAGGAAGAAGGACAGAAATACTGGACAGTTATATGGGAGGAAGCTGGTTTCCAGTGGAAATCAGTACTATACCAAAAAGGCAAGAAAAGACCCTTTTAAACCTTCATCCATCCAATTCCTGCTTTCTCATCTCTACAGGGACTACTTGAGCTGCTGTTGAACAAGCAAATCATTTACATCACCACAAATTTATGATCCTCTATCCCTCCCATTTCTGTTGAGAGTATATTTAAACCTTCTGTGCTCTCAAGTCCTCTATCATTTGACCATTCTTAGATGACTGTCCTAGTCCCTCAGTTCTCAATTTCAGTTTCACCTAAGGAGTTCTACATTTACAGTTAAAAAATAGACATGTGCTTCTGCTGTTGACTGTGTAGCTACTGCCTTTGCTCACCTTGCTTCCTTGAAGCATGAAGTCATTAGCTTCTTGCGCTTCCTTATCTACCATACTATGTATCCATTTCTCCTGTAGTAACCTGCTTTTCTCACTCTTCTGACTTTCTCACTGTGGTCACCATCAGCCTCCTTGATAAGATGAATAGGCATGTTATTTTCTCATCTTACTGCTCTTTGTAATTTTATACTTATGATGACCTTCCTTGAAATGACCTACCCTGGTTTCTATGACATCACTGCTTTTTCCCCCTATCTACTCTTTTCATGCCTCTCTTGTCATCTCCCTTTTCCCCATTCTTAAGTGCTGGTAGCTCCCCAGTTATTGTTTTAGCCTTCTGACTGTTTGCTTATTTAGTAATTAATATTTAGTGAGTGCCTTTAATTTGCCAGGCACTCATCTCATCCATCCCGTATTTTCAGATACCATTTCAATATTGATGCCTCTTAAGCCTGTTATGTTAGCTCAGATCTTAATACATCAGAACCATAAACCACCTCTGCTTGAACATTTACACATATATAACCTGCAAGCCCTTCAAATCCAACATGAATTCATCATTTGTTTTCCTACCTAACCTGCTTTCCTCCTATATTCCTTGACTCAATGATTAGTATTCTCATTTATTCAATTGTCCAAGCAATAGACTTGCGAACCAACCTTGACTCGCATTAATTACCCTTCTTTTCCACATCAAATCTGTTATCAACAAGCCCTGTCCATTCAACTGCCTGGCTGTAGCTATGCCCACCTTGAGTTTATTTTCTATAACTTTGCTGGAGTGATTTTCCTAAAGCAGACATTTCACCATGTTATCCTCTTACTGAAAACTGTTAGTGGATCTTAGTACTTTCGAGTTTCAAATTATTTTTTTCGGTGTGTGTGTGTGTGTGTGTGTGCGTGTGTGAGTGAGAGAGAAAGAGAGAGAGAGAGAGAGAGAGAGAGAGAGAGAGAGAGACAGGGTCTCACTATGTAGCCCAGATTGACCTCCAACTCTTGATCCTCTTGCCTCACCTTAAGTGCTGGGATTTCAGGTGAGCACTTTCACTTTTTTCCAGTTTTAAATTTGTTAACAAATCACTAAGAAACTTCAGGATCTGGCCACTGTTCACCTCTTTATAATCAGTGAAATTCCAAGTCACCCCCAATCTTTTTTTGGGGGAGGTGGGCTGGTCATGGGGATTGAACTCAGGACCTTGGCATTGTCACTGAGCTTTTCTGCTCAAGACTAGCACTCTACCACTTTGGGCCACAACTCCAGTTCCAGTTTTCTGGTGGTTAATTGGAGATAAGAGTCTCACAGGGGCTTTTCTGCCCAGGCTGGCTTGAACTGCAATCCTCAGATCCCAGCCTCCTGAATAGCTAGGATAACTGATGTAGCCACCAGTAGCTGGCTACATCTACAATCTTTTTTTGGGGGGGCGGGGGGGAGTCCGGTCGTGGGGCCTGAACTCTGGGCCTGGGCACTGTCCCTCAGCTCTTCAGCTCAAGGCTAGCGCTCTACCACTTGAGTCACAGCGCCACTTCCGGCTTTTTTTCTTTTTGCTTATGTGGTGCTCAGGAATTGAACCCAGGGCCTCAGGCATGCAAGGCAAGCGCTCTACCACTGAGCCAACTTCCCAGCCCTTACATCTACAATCTTAAATGGACAGCAAATACATGAATACTTTAAAAGTCCCAAACTAACATAATGCTTAGAGAAGAAGGTAAGAAGCAGAGGTTCTATCATTCCATTCACATAATTGTACTTATCCTATAGAAACTTTAGTCTTTCATACCTGTTGCCTTAGGTGATTAAGCTCAGCTGTCTGGGGATCAATATTAATGATAGGTTTGTTCTTGATTTTTCTTGCTCTGTCAGCATAGCGAAGGGTATTTAATGTTTCCTCTAGATTAGAGTCAGCAGGACTCACGCAGGCTATCATAAGAGTATGGCTATTGCCTCCTAGAGAATCTGAAAAGAATAAAAACAAATCCAACAAGTAGATGATGAATTCAAACTTGAGCTATAAGAAAAAATTATTAGATATCTACAAGTGTTCTACTCATATTAAAAAAGTTTTCTTTTATTTGATGCCAGTAGTAGGGCTTGAACAGGTCTTTTCATTGTTGCTTGGCTTTTTCACTCAAAGATTGTGCTCCACTATTTGAGCCACAGCTCCACTTCTTTCTTTTCAGTAGTTAGCTGAAGAGTCTCACAGACTTTTCCATTTGGTGCTGACTTTGAACTGTGATCCCTGGACTTCAGCTTCCTGAGTAGCTAGGATTACAGGTGTGAGCCATCAGCAGTTGGCTTAAAAACCCTAAGATTTCTGATGTGCAAAATGATATGGATTTCATAATTCTATTGCACATGTCCCTATTCTCAAGAGAAACTATGATTTCAGCAGTTAATCAGGTTAAAACATTTGGGGCCTGGCCCATGTAAGTTCAAAACCACTATTAGAATTAAACATTCTTAGGATGCCCCCCTAGAGGGATTTTAACTCTCCAGAGACATTTACTTAGCAGCCCTATTAATTAAAGAAACAGTCATCACGTTCATTCTCAGGTGCAATGTACAATTGGCACTCTATGGATTTCTTGGCTCTCAAAGTTATACAAGGAAGAAATTATTTTCATTATCTTAGAAATCTGACTGCCAATAACAATCTCTCCTATTTATCAATTAGACAGCTGTATCTGTGATAGCCCAAATAGCTGGCTTTTTACCTGCTTGCTTTCTCTGCACTATCTATTATGCTGAATTACAATTTTATTTTCAGAAGCACTTTGGACTTACCTTGAAGCAGTCGGGTCAACTTGGAATCTCTGTAGGGCACAAAGCTACTCTTTTTGTCATCTCCAAGAGCACTGATTACATTTCCCAGGCATAGGAGACCTCGGTTAATATTAATACCTAATAGCAGGAAAAAAAATTCAAATTTCTTGGCAAAGTACCTTCCATATACCTACATAGGTGTATAGTCCCATGGAAATATTGTCATCAATGCTAAGGAAATTTCTTAATCCTACTCACTTTTTTGAAAGTGTCTCTTTAGGTAAAGTTCAAAGAATAAAGATCTAAATATTAGATTTACAAACAAAGCAGGAAGATAGATAGCTATCATTATGATAACAAAGGTATAGTTATTTATGTTCTATAGTCATTATCAGAATCCTTAAACTAACACTGTGAAATAAAATGAATAACTACTTTTCACAATTGTCCTATGTTCTTTCTGCTTCATTAGAATAACTTTTCTTCTCATTGTGTTTGAAAGGGCAATGGTTCTTTCTTACTTTATGTAACTCAGGAGTTTGCTTTTCAAATGTTGTAATAATCTGTGAAGTCCCTTCTAAAGCACTTGATTTCTCATTATTATACTGGTTAAATGTATGGGCTGCAATATCATGTAGACTTAGGTTCCAATCCTGACTGTCATTGACTAGATGTATGATCCTGTATAAATTTCTATATAAAATGAGGTAAATCTCAACAATTTATTGAGTTGTAGTGGGAATTAAAGACACACAGCACATACCACACTTAAATGCTAAACAATGGTTTTCTTGTTTGAATGTATTCCCTAGAATTCAGGTTGAAAATTGATCCTAGTGGAACAGTTTTAAGAAGTGATGAGGCCAGGTCTTTACAAACTCATGGATGGGATTTCTGCCTTTACAACAGGGCTGGAGGGAGCTAGCATGCCGTTTTTGTTCTTCTGTCCCTGTTGTCATGTGAAGACACAGTGCTCATCTTTCTTCCCCTTCTATATTTTTCTGCCATGAGAATGCAGTGAGAAGACACCTTCACTAGACACCAATTTTGCTGGTGTCACAATCTTGCACTTCTCCAGTTTAAGAGCTGTGAGAAATAATTTTTTATGTTATTAAGTACTTGTACAAAGAGGTTACAATTCCCTAAGTCAGGATATGAGTACAATGTATCTTGATCAGTGCCACCACTTCCAAGAAATAAATTTTTACTGTTAACAACTTATCCGCCCGAAAGTATTTTCTTAAAAACCAGTGGACCAGACAAATGGCATCATTATTGTTAGCTCTACTCTGCTTTTTACTTATTCAGTTATAACATGAAAGCCTTATAACATGAAAGCACATACTTTCAAGATCCTATTGTGGTTTGGATATTAAATGTTTCCAAATAAATGCATGAAGAGAAGGAAATTTTATAAATCATTATTTGTCATTCTGTGAATATATTAAAACTTTTTGTTTGAAAAAAATTAAAAGAAATAAAATGTTCTCAAAGGCTTGTGTATTTAAGGCTTGATCTTCAGATGGTGCTGGTATTGAGAGATGTTGAGTTCTTGCCATTACTAACCTCATTGATGGGTTAATCCATTGATGAGTTAAGGAGGTGGGTCTAGATGGAGAAAGTAGTCATTGAAGATGGGACTTCAAGGATGTATCTTATCCTTGCCCCTTTTGTTACTTCTCTACTTTTAGGTAGGTTCCCTCTTTCAACACTTTTTGTCATGTTTTGCCCACAGAAAAGGAGACAAGTAACGAAAGGGACTGCAATTATGAGCCCAAACTAATCTTTCCTTCTTTTTTTGTCAGTCATGGGGCTTGAACTCAGGTCCTAAGTGTTGTCCCTGAGATTTTTGTTCAAGGTTAGTGCTCTATCACCTATAGTCACAGCTCTACTTCTGGTTTCCTCATAGTTAATTAGATATAACAGTCTCACAGACTTTTCTGCCCAAGCTGGCTTTAGAAGATCCTTATATCTCAGCCTCCTGAGTGGCTAGGATTACAGGTCTGAGCCACCAGCTTAATCTTTCCTTCTTTCTTTAAGTTTACTTTCTCAGGTATTCCATCAATTGTGAAAACATGACCAGGAAGATCTCAAATTCCAAGTTTCCCTCTAACTCCCTCCCATCTTTTCATGGATTCTGTTCCTCACCCTTATGGTGAGTACCAATTTACTGACACTTTCTAACACTCTCATTAGCCCTGCATCTTTTGGGCCTTCAACTATTTATTTTGAATCCTATAGCCAATTATTATGGCCAATTATTTCAGTTTTGCTTCCCAAAGTACTCATAGAACACATGATCTGCCATTTCCATTCACACATGCTAGGCAAATAAAATACCACTGAGTTATACCTAGCTCCACCCAACACAGGTTAATCCAACTGTGTGTACACTGAGGCATGTTTGTGTATCTGTTGCCTGCAGTGCTAAAGGAATGAATGACATAACTAAATGGATTGGATCCATTACAAACATACTACAGACCTTAGCTAAATTCAGTAAATTAACCATCTTCACTTCCTTATTCTTGCTTGACTAATCTTATTTAACTCATGATGGCAGTGATTCTGAACACTATTTTCAAGAATACAAATCTTTCTTCACTCTCTATTTCATCAATTACTCTATGGAGATTGAAGTTGTATATAGTGCTTCCTAACCTCCCTTTGCCATTCTCACATTCCTCTCTTTGATGCTACTTATTCCCTTTTCCTTGTTCTTGTTTCAGATGGAATAGCTGCCTTTATTCTCAAAGTTCTTCCTTTTATCTTTGCTGATATTTCTATCTTCTTCATTTTCTCTGGGACTAGGATTTCTTTTCTTTTCCCCTCCCCCTCTTCCTCCTCCCTCTCTTTTTCTCTTCATTCTTTGTCTCTTTTTCTTTCTTAGCGGTACTGCAGTTTCCATTAGTTTTTTTGCTCAAGGCTGGTACCCTACTTCCGTTTTTTATTTTTAGGGGATGGCTAATAGGAGATAAAGACTAACAGATGCACTGTACTTATAAACCGACATATTGAATGGTAACTCCTTTTTAAAGATTAAAAAGACCCTTAAAGGGCTGGGAAGGTGGCTCAGTGGTAGAGCGCTTGCCTTGCATGCATGAGGCCCTGGGTTCGATTCCTCAGTATCACATAAGCAAAAAGAAAAAAGCCGGAAGTGGTGCTGTGGCTCAAGTGGTAGAGTGCTACCCTTGAGCTGAAGAGCTGAGGGACAGCGCCCAGGCCCAGAGTTCAGGCCCCACAACTGGACCCCCCCAAAAAAAATAAAAAAAAAATTAAAAAGACCCTTAAAGACTTTTCTGCCCAAGATGGCTTCAAACTACAATTTTCAGATCTCAACCTCCTGAGTAGCTAGGATTATAGCCTAGCAGGGCACTGGTGATCTTGAATTTCATTTTTCTCCACTAATTCCTTCTTTTTAGTCTATACACATGCTTAAATCTCCCCAATATAAAAGACAAGCAAATCTTTTAAGCAGTCATCGAGACAATCCATTTTACAGAGATATTTATCCTTCCAGGAGAGAGTTTGCTAAGATTTATCAAATCTGCTTGTGAACACCTGTACTAATCTCCCTATCAATCCTTTCCTTTCAGCCAAACAGAACACTGTACCATCTAACTGGCTCATATCCATCTACATCAATGATAAAGATTGTTTATCAAAGCTTCTAAGCAAAACTAGCTACAGTTTTACATAGAAATAAAACCAAAATACCAGAAAAAATCTGGACTTAAGGATGAAGTAAACAATGTTACTTTTTTTTTAATTCCCTTCAAGTGAGAGTTGGAATTTGAAATACAAAGGGGCTAGGGACATTGAGTGTTTCCCTGTAGGGAAATCACCACAAAATAGGATTTGATTTTATGACATTAAAATGATATGTTTTTAACAAGGATAAAAAATAGTACTTAGATGTTTTAATTAAGGATGGTTATAGAGAAAGATACCCAGATAAAATTATATACTGAAATTCTTTTGGAAATTTTTGAGAGTGAAAAGAGATCAAGCAAGAAGTGAGTCAACAATATTGTTGGGTGTTTGTTCACTATGGCAACAAAATAATAAAGGAGAAATAAATTTTTTTACAGTAGAAGGAAATATAACTTCAAAGGTACCATGGAGGCACACTACAATGGGTTTCACAACTGGTATAGAAAGGTGTATTTATTAAAAGGGAGAAAAACTAGGTAGGAGTAAAGTGAAGTAGCTCCATGGGTAGTGCTTCTAAACTATGGGCAATTTGACTCCCTAGGTGATATTTGGTAATATCTGGAGACAGTTGATCATCACAAATCAGTAGGGTAAGAGAGCAGTATGTGTGCTACTGGCATCTAGTGGGCAGAGGTTCAGGATGCTGCTAAACATTCTGCAATGTACAGAATCGTTCCCTACCTTGATTATTTAACCCAAAATGTCAACAGTGCCACAGCTGAGAAATGATCCTGTGTAAGTAAAACAAAAACAAAAACAAAACTAAAGTAGAAAGGGTGGATAAATTAGGATAAAAAAATAAAGTAATCTTACAATATAGATATAGACAGCTTGGTCAGAAAAAAAAGGAATGAATTCTTAGGAAAATGGATGAAAGCCTTATAGAAGCAATCACTGAGAGAGGATGGAGTTGGGCATGTAATTAGGAGACCAAAGATCTTAGTTCAAGTTCTGCTTCTGCCACGTATCAATATGTGTGAAACTTTCCTTTATCCATAAACAAGGGCTTATACCTATCATACTAATGGACCATGGTAATCATCAAATGTGATCTATAAAGATATCTATAAGTAAGTTATTGGTTTTGAACTGAGTGGAGGAGCATGGACCATCTATATATTTGCTAAGTCTGGACAATAATTACCATTTGTTACCTAGAAAAGGGCATGGATGCTACTTCTGGTAATATTTCATCTAGATACAAGTTACATGAGTGTATTTTACTTTGTGAACATTCATTAAACTCTACTGCTATGATATGGACATTTTTCTGTTTCCTATGTGTACTATACTTAGAATCTAATTAACAGTGGCATAATTATGTTTTTCAGATACATAAAAATAGAAAAATTTAAAAAGAAATGTTCAGCACCCACATTGAGAAATATCTTGAATAGATAATTTAATCAGGACTATAAATGATC